CCTTGCTTCTATTTACCATCTATGAAGCCATTGGGGGAATTTGTAAACTATTAAACCTAAATGTGATATCAGTACTCTGATGGCACTCAATTTTACATCTCTACCAGTCTACCTGGTAGGCTGACCAAGTGTTCTTTCCCAGTCTCTCTCATAGAAAAAGAGAATTGCTCTACAAACCATACATAGGTTGTTGCCTCAGTAGATCATACTTTTTTCCCATCTGATCTGATATTTTTACACTCTGATGGGCATCGGCTTTCCATAGCCTCAAAGATATCCTTAAACTGGAAAGGCCATAGAGATACATAGAATGTGCACTAGAATAGATAGATGAATGGCTCTATGTGACAAGATTCAAGGCTTAAAGCAGAAGAAAAAAAATGGATAGTCAAGCTGATATGGCCTAAATCATGACACAGTCCTCCATACGGAAGTTATATGAGAGAAAAGAGAGCCAACCCTCTCTTTAATGCTGATGTGTAGCATAATAGGTATAATGAAAAGGGAAAGCAATGTTGACAGTTACGATAAAGAGGAATGGTTGCACATTTTAATTATAGCTGTCTTTGAATCTATTACTAAGATGTCCCATGACTCATTCTTAATATTTACTTTCTTTCCCAGGGCTTTTGAAACTAACTTGTGAAATAGTGCTTTGTGGTGTCCCTAGCCCATTTGTCTATTGCTTTAGTTGCCAGCAGGATTAGTTAGTACCTGTCTCTCTGCCACTTCACATGTAATGCAGTATGTAAGAATATATGTTTTATCCCACTGAGCTGGCATTTTCACCTCATGTCTGCATTGGTTCCGCTTCCCTTGCATGCTTGTTAGAGCTCTACAACCCCATCATTGGAAAAGCCATTAATCCTCTAACACGTTTTGCATTTGACAGAACTGATCCGCTCATGAGCTTTTTAGACTGTGAATATATAGGTTTAACCAGACAACCAGAGTATGTTGATTTCAGTCACTCTTGTCATGCAAGCTAGTGCAAGCTAGTGTCTGTTTTTAAAAAAATTGAATAGACCTTGATGTAAGAAAACAGACTTGTAGTAAAGGCACTTCAGCCAAATACTTAGCAAATATGAAGGTACCTGCAGTAACTGCTAATAGTGTGTATGGCTCCCCAACAGTCTCACCAGGAACGTTCTTTGTGCATGCTCAATTGCACAAGCAGACAATCTGGGAAAACTCTCAAAGAACTTGTGATGAGCCTTCAAGACGAATTAGCTGCCTCAGTGCTTTCCATAGCATTGTCTTGCGTGTGCTAATATGCTATTCAAAGAACCTCTTTAAATGTTTTGGATAACCACAGTCTACAGTGTATTCATACTACAGGTAGCCCTTGTTTAATGACCACAATTGCTAAGAGAAATTGTGACCATGCTTCTGATCTTACCTCGGATTTGCTTTTTTTTTTTTTTTTAATTTGATTTATATGCCGCCCTTCTCCGGAGACTCAGGGCGGCTTACAATGCGCTAAGCAATAGCCTTCATCCTTTTGTATATTTATACAAAGTCAGCTTATTGCCCCCACAACTGGGTCCTCAATTTACCTACCTTAGAAAGGATGGAAGGCTGAGTCAACCTTGAGCCTTGGCGAGATTCGAACCTGCAGTAATTGCAGGCAGCTGGTCTTAATAACCAGCTTAATAACAGGGTGCCTTAGACCACTGTACTACCAAGGCTCTTAGACCTGCAAAGGTCATAAATGCAAAAATTGGTTGCCAACCAAGGTTATTTTTTCATTACTGTTGCAACTGTGCAAACATGAGACAATCACAAAACAACTATTCAGATTGGCTAGTCTCTACAGACTTCTCGCCAAGGTCATTAGCCCTTTGCTAATGTTTTCCACAGAAGTACGGTAGATGCCTTCCAGCAAATCACTTTTGTGCAAGTGAGAGGTGGAACCGAGACACTTCATGTATAACAAAGACCTGAGATCCAATCCAATGTACTCACATATATAGAGACTGCAAAGTCACATAATAAAGAATGGAAATGTTAAGTAAGAATCAGTATGTTAGACTGGCATTTGACCCAGGTTCCAGTCCACTCTCAGCCACAAAAGCTGATTAGGTGACTTCGGGCCAGGCACACTCTCTAACACATTTACCCATCCATGTCTTCACTGTTCTAAGCATGTTTCTGATTGCATGCAAAAAATTGTCTGAATGGGTTCTATGAAAGGAAGCTTCAAAAATGTCAATTCACCATTCCTCTAAGAATGATCTATGAAAGGGCAACTACAGCCCAGAAGCCCAGTTCCTAGAAATGAGAAAATGAACAGCACAAGTTTCACAGAACTTAAGCAATTCAAACATGAATTTTACCACTGTGAACCCAGTGAGACCAGGAAATTCTAGAGATGGACTTTTGTCACAGAGTCCTCATGTAGAAGGGCTTATTATCTTAAGCTCATTTGAAAAGAACACTGGAAAAAAATGGCCAAACTAATTTCTACTGACCACTTAGGCCGATATTCCAAATGGGACAAATTCCAAAAGATAATTATATATTAATCTATAATAGCAAATAGGGACAAAATAACTCTTATGTGCTATCTGAATCTTAACATGGATTTTGACTTTAAGCTCATAACCACTTATTGTACAATGAAAATGTATAAGAAATGTATAAGTTTAAACCTAGCCTATGTTTCTAAAGAAGAAATTTCCACATAGAGAATTGTTGTTAAGATGTCTATTCTAAGTAGGAAACTTTTATTGTATTTCCACAGTTTGTAAAGCTACCATTATGACCATTAGCTGTCCAAGAAAAACTGATGTTTAGTCTTGCAAGAGGTAAATTGCTTATATTTTTGATCAGGACTAATGAAGAGATTGTGTGACCATGACTTTTTGGATTTTTCCATATGACACAACATGCCATTATCAATATTTTATGTTACGTGCAATTTGGAAAGTACTTAATTAGTTGATTAGTCAGATTACCTGCTCTGAAGTCACATATGTTTATTTGGAATAAAATGAGTGTCTGTCACCTAAAGAGGAAACTTCACTCTTTTAGGATTACTGTTGCAAGAATAATTAACTAGCACAACATAATTTGACTTCTACTTAGTATAGTATCTAAACTTAACTTCCATTTCTGTTAATACTAAAGCTTCATGTAATCCTCGATTTATAACCTTTCTTTTAATGATTGCCTGATGTTACAACAGCACTGAAAAAAGTGACTTACAACTGGTACTCACACTTACAACTGTCACAGCATCTCCATGATCCTGTGATCAAAATTCAGCTGCTTGGCAATTGGCATGTATTTATGATGGTTGTAGCATTCCAGATCATGTGATCAGCATTTGTGACCTTCCCAGCAAGCTTCTGACCAGCAAACTCAATGGAGGAAGCCAGATTCACTGAACAACCATGACAAAGAAGTCATAAAATTGGGCATGACTTGCTTAACAACTGCCTTGCTTAACAGTGTAAATTCTGGTCCCAGTTGTGATTGTAAATATGTTTTCCTCTACTTTTGTTTTTTGTTTATCTAAGATCACAAATATTTACCAACATTGGGAACAATTCTACACTCAGCTGGATTTTAAATGTTCATCCTTGTTTGTGCCCAGATTCCTGAGTATTACCTGAATCCTATCCATTGTGTATAAAAGCATAATAGCTTAAAACCATAATTCTTTCTTTATTTCATTTTAAATCCCTATTCATGAGGGCCTTATAAATTCATCCTCAAATCACTCATTTTTTTTCTTCTCCTCCTCCTCCTCCTTCTTTCCTAGCTTTTTCCTAATGAAAAAAAAAATCACAGATCTCCAAACTTTATCCACAGTTCTATACAAGGTTTGTTGGTTGGGTCTAACAAACATATTAACCATAGATGTTAGAACTGTTCTCATAAACTCCTTATTGGTTTCAACATATAATGTGAACCCACTTGACTTTCAAGAACACTTTGCAGATATTACTCAGTTGCTGCAAGGATTTCTCAGATTTCCCTTATTTAGGGAGAAACCACAATTCTTTCAGTAAAGCATGACAATATCATACTACTCAGAAAAAAGCAGAACCATAAGATCAGTGGGTTTGTGCATGATAGGGGCTCCTATTAGGTAATACTATGGCATCACTACGGACATAATGATGTCTTGCTATTATGAAGCACTCCCTTTCCTTTAAGCTGCAGCTTTAACACCTTTTTGAAAAACAGAATGGCATTATAGGTATTCCATTTTACAGCAATAGTCGGCAACCTCAAGGCCTGTATGACCCTCAAACCTCTTATTTGAAGTTTAAATAACTTCTCCATCCACAATTGCAGAAAATTGGCAACTTGTCTCCCCTCCAGCCTTTGTCAGAAAATACATAAAATCTGTAGTATACACATCGTCATAAATTGTCAAGCATTAAAGTAAAAACCCAACTCCCTGAAAAAATGAGGGGAGAGGCCTATAGACAGGAAGAGAATTGGGATTAACTCCATAGACCACAAATATGGTTTAACTTGCCTGCTGATGCCCTCAGGTCTTTAAAAAAACAGCAACAATGAAACTCACTTGATTCATCAGTGACCTACCACTGTTTCAGTAACTGAGCGTTGCATCTTGTTTTAAGACATCAACAAAAAGACTTTTCCAATTAAATAAACATTCCTCTAGCAAACTTCTTCTCTTGCTCACAGCAATCGCTGTCATTTCCTAAAGCATTTTCTCCCTCCCTTCTGCATTCTTTAAGGCTTAGAACTTGTTTTTCTAATATCGAAAGCAGTTGATTCTATGATTCTAAGTATCTGCCCTGTTTAAAGAAGAAGGAAAGGAGCAAACTGATTTTCTTGACTATCTTTGAAGACCCCAACCTTGGATTTTGGATCGGAGCTGAGACTAAAGGAAGAAGATACAGGAGGGGTCATTGGGAAAGGCCAACCAGATAATGTCAGCCAGCTTTCATAAGTTACCCAGAACCCTCCCAGGAATGGAAGGACCCACAAACTACTGTAATTATAACTTCTGTTCTTACTCTAAGTTCTGAAGCTCCTCTTCTGCTTGGTCATGAACGTGCCGGTAGCTCATCCTCCTTCTGTCTTCCATCTCCACTCTGCCCATCCACCAGGGTTGCTGCAGCTCCTTTTCAAAGTACCACTGGCCACAGAAAGAAGGATAAAAGAGATGGCAAACAGGTCAGCATCCTTTTTTTTCAGGGTCAGCTTCTTGCTGTTCGTGATAAACAGTACAGACACCCTGTAAGACGAGCAATTCTCTCTGGAGCTTGAACAGAGTGAATGAGGAAGTGAAAACAGAGTCCCTCCCTGTCTTTGACAAAGTGCCCTCCCTGGCCTCTCCAGCTCAGTGCAGGGAAAAGGGGAAGCTGCCTGGAGAATGCAGCTAGGGCTGTTTCATCTCTTCTTCTGTCCTGCATCACACAATAAACAGGCAGGGCAGCCCGAATGTTAGTTGGGAAGGTTATGCGACCTACATTGTAAAGGGGAACATCTACCATATACCACTACTTACCTGTTTATGGACACCAAAAGGAGTTTTCCTATGTTTACAATTTTATTATTAAGAAAACAATAACTGAATATTCATGGAAGACACTATATCATTCCAGATTTATTTTTAAAAAACCAGGATGTACTTTTACTTTAGAGTAACAGCAAGACTGTATCATAACTTTTATGTTCTCTCACCCCACATTTTTTCCTATTTCCAAAGTTTTTACTTTGGACTTTTACCTGAATATAAAGCAACAGAAAGATTTCTTCTTCTTTTTCTTTTTCTTTTTTTTTTTTAATTTTCTGGCATCCTTGGAAGTGGGGAAAGCTTAATTTAAACCCCTATGAAGCATGATGAAAACTTTCTTCCTGTTTTACTCTTCCTAACTACCTTACATGCACAATTGCAATAAGGACAGAGAGAAAATTCCTTACAATCCTGGAAAAATGAACAATGAAAAAATGAACTTAAAATGAAGTTACAAGTTTTGTTAGATTTGCTTCGCTACACACAGACACAGACACAGACACAGACATACACACACCATTTTTTCCCCTGGAAGACCAAAATAACCAGTCAGACTGTATCAGGGTTGCTGAGCTGTTGGCTGTTGCTTGCATGCTCTATCAGCTGGGTGCAGAGATGGCACTAGATTCTGCTGACTTTGCCAATTCAAACAGCAAACTAAAATAGACACCACGACAAAGAATCAGTCTAGACAAATAAAGTTATTTTAATTGGGAATAGACTTTCCTCCTATCATTTACTTTTTTCATATGTTTTCTGTTTAATACTGGAGGAAGCATGTAGGCCTCTGATTTCTTTGAGAACATAGCTTTCTCTAGCATAATGCTCCCTATGAGACAGGCCTGCCCTGCCCTGACATTTTCTAAGCACACCATGTCTTTCTAAGTACAGTTTCTCACTAGACTTATTGTTCTCGGGTTTTATATCCTTGCATAGACTTTCCTCTTGGGCTTTGAGCCCAACTTTTAATCTCCTGTAGTGCTAACACCCTTTTGATGGTTTCTCTAGTAGACACAGTAGGAATCTTTCTCTCCTACATTCAGCACATACACAAATACAAACTATGAATCTCCCACGTAGTCAAGTAGTGTCTGCAAAACAACAGACCAACAGACCGTAGATAGCGGTTTTGGTACTTCGCAGATCCTTTAAGTGGGAAAGCTTTACACCTGAGACTTTTCGATGTACAAATATCATACTGTAATATAATATATAGTTTATTAGCAGCAAGAGACTGACTTCTGTTTCATACTCAGTTTATCTTGAGGATTATTGCTCAGGAAGAAAGAAAAAAAGGAGTCTTGTAGAATCAGTGCTATATAAAAAGATCCATTGTATAGAACAGGGGTCAGCAACCTGTGGCTCCGGAGCCGCATGCGGCTCTTTGGGCCTTCTTCTGTGGCTCCCTGTCAGGTGATCCCACCATTGGCTGGCCCCACCCCTCGCCCTCCTCTCCCAGTCACTCTTCGCCTGGCCTGAGAAGGTAAGGGCGATGGCGGGGGATGGAGAAGTGGCCAGGGCAGAGACAGAGAGATACAGAATGAGGGTGAGAGAGAAACAGACAGACAGAGAGAGATACAGAGAGAGGGAGGGAGAGAGGGGGGAGAGAGGGAAGGAGGGGAGAGAGAGATATGTCAAAATGATTTTGTGGTTCCCGGTGTTTTTTAACAACTGGTTCTCTGCCCTAATGACCGGCTGGGTAGGCGTGGCTAGGGGGGGTCATGTGACTGGTGGAAGTGAGTGACATTGAGTTGTCTATGCCCACCCAGGTTTTGTGGCTCCCGGTGTTTTCTTTTCTGTGGGAAATGGGTCCAAATGGCTCTTTGAGTATTTAAGGTTGCAGACCCCTGGTATAGAATCATCAAATCACTAACTAATCCAACTGCCTACTACACCATGCAGAATTATTAATGCAAACATCTCAGTGAGTCCTATATGAATATATTCATCCTGCTTATATAATCTAGTTATATAGAGTCTATTATAGATTATATAGTTGGGCCCTTCTATCCTAGTGTGTTCCTTTGACATCCTTTTGTTCAAGGGAAACAAATGTCACATCACCATCAGAATATTTTCCCTGTGGTAAGAGCAGAGGTGGGTTTCAGCAGGTTCTGACCAGTTCTGGAGAACCGGTAGCGGAAATTTTGAGTAGTTCGGAGAACCGATAGTAAAAATTCTGACTAGCCACACCCCCATCTACTCTCTGCCTCCCAAGTCCAAGTTGATCGGGAGGAAATGGGGATTTTGCAGTAACCTTCCTCTGAATTGGGGAGGGAATGGAGATTTTACAGTATCCTTCCCCTGCCACGCCCACCAAGCCACGCCCACCAATCCATGCCATGCCCACCAAGCCATACCCACAGAACCGGTAGTAAAAAAGTTTGAAACCCACCACTGGGTAAGAGGTCTGTTTACTCATTGTATGAACTGCCTTTGCCCCATTAAGTTGGCTCTAAGTAAGATGGATGTGAAAGTGCTACTTCTTATAAGTAGGTGATTTCCAAAGAGGAAGTACTAAATATGGCAAGTGCCTTTCATTGTGTACATATTGAATTACTTTTTATTGGTAATCAAAGCCTCAGCTTACTTGTCTTACCTCTAGCTTATTTTTTCTCTGCACACTACCAAAGACTGTTTAGATATCATTCCAACAGAACAGATGATATAGTTTTTCCTCTCTTCCATTCAATAATATTCAGTTTAGAAAGGAACTGTAGAAGACAGAGAGACACCAATGATCTGTATTCAGAATGGTCTACACCAGGGGTGTCAAACTCGATTTCATTGAGGACTGCATCAGGGTTGTGTTTGACCTCGGAGGGCTGGGTGGGCGTGGCCAGGGTGGGCATGGCCAGTTCAACATCACTTGTGTCGGGGGCGCTTGTGATGGCCCGGGTGGGGCTGGGGGATTCATTGTCTCCAGCTCCGTTTTTGGCTGTGATGGCCTCCTGCAGCTCTCTGCCAGCGGAAACGGAGCTCCCTTTTTACTGGCAGAGGCACCACGGGCCAGTCCTTTGCTGGTTCCAGGGCAGCCCCGCGGACTGAATGTAAGGACCCCATGGGCCGGATTCAGGCCTTGAGTTTGACACCCCTGGTCTACACAATAACCAACAGAGCCTCATTAGCAAGATAGTCCATCTTTGACCTGAAAACCACATTAGCCCCCAACCACACTGACAAAATAGGGTAGCACATAATGCAGGCACATTTCCCTATCAAAGTTTTTTGGGAGGAGGAAGACAAAAGACAGTTTTGCTGAGTAGTATTTTGATTTATTTGTTTTTGATCCTGCCTGAGTTTAGGAACATTCAACAATGTCACGACAGAAACAAAAAGAAAAGAATTACAGAAAGATAAAATCCAAACTGCAAAGCAAGAACAAAAGCATGAGAGAGAGAAAAAAATAAGAATCGCAAAAGGCAATGCTGCTGAAAAGCTTTTTGAAACAGCTTCCTAAAATCTACTAAGAATCCATTATGAGGTCAGTAAGGAGCCCATTTCACAGCATCAGCAGTGCTACAAAAAAAGCATCTTAATTTCAGCTCCCCAAGTGTTGAGTCAACAAGGAGACCCTCCCTATATGTTCCAACAGCCCAGGCCAAATTCAGCTGGAGATGATGGCCCCTTAGATACTCAGGTTCCTAGCCATGAAGAGCCTTATAGCTCCTCAAAATAGAAAATAAACAACCATACAAAACCCTCCTCACCTACCTACCAATTCTAAGTCCTGCCCGCTTGTCTAACAACACTGCATCTGTGCCCTGCCCACCACAGCTTTTCCCTGCTTCAAAATAGACGGTGAGAAATAGATGAATAGCAAATCATTTAAAGCCAGGCTAGATAGGCTTAGCAGTGTCTCAATATCAGAATGGATTTTATTTGCCGACGTTCTACATTCTCCTTCCTCCACACGAGTGCAGTAGTGGCTTCTTCAGGGAAATCAGGCTCTTTTCTTAGATTTGTGGTTATGGCTCCCACCACCATCCGCCCCCCCCACTATAACCAGGGGAAATAGAAGTTACTGCATGACCAATTCAGGAGAGAAAACCATTGATGCAGATTAATCAGAAGGAAGAAGTAGAGAAAACAGGCCATTTTGAGCACAGAATATAAAAATAGCTGCCCCACAACAAGTTGGTTATCTGACAAGTCTGCTAAGGGTATGGCAAGAACACTGACTATGCTGGAATGCTCATATAGCGCTCTAGGGGTGCATCTATCAGCACTTTGTGCTGAGCTCCTGTCTGCTGTTGTAGGACATCCACATAGTCCTCTTAGGAGAAGTATGTCAAAAAGAAAGGGCCAATTGCCGCTTTTAGTACCTCCTAATCCCTAATCAATACATTCAACCTGAAATTGAAATTAAGAGCCTTGGTAGTACAGTGGTCTAAGGCACCCTGTTATTAAGCTGGTTATTAAGACCAGCTGCCTGCAATTACTGCAGGTTCGAATCTCGCCAAGGCTCAAGGTTGACTCAGCCTTCCATCCTTTCTAAAGTAGGTAAATTGAGGACCTAGTTGTGGGGGCAATAAGCTGACTTTGTATAAATATACAAAAAGGATGAAGGCTATTGCTGAGCACATTGTAAGCCGCCCTGAGTCTCCGGAGAAGGGCGGCATATAAATCAAATTAAAAAAAAAATCCTGCCATGTAAACGTGGAGTATACTTCAATTTAACAAGAATGTTGTTTTTGGGTGGCAGCAGTTACTGATTTTAGTCATGGTCTTTTGTCCCATGAAATAATAATGTCAATAAAAATGATACATAGCTATCTGGCAGAATCAAGGTGACCCTTGGTGATTTCTGCAGCTATACAAGATAGAACTTGATTTGTACCCTTCTGACAGACTACAAGATAATCCCAAAGTTGTAAACTAGAGTGGAAGATGTAAAAACATCCTAACGGTATACCACTTCTGCATCTTTGCCAAAAGCAAGATATCTAAGAATCCATTTTGCAGAAGAGAATTCAAAGAGGTGATTTCTTCATGTGCATTCTAAGGTCATAGAGAGCATTATGTCATATTCTTTTTACTGCAAATATATGTATTTCAGTAATGCTGCATACTACAGATGGACTATCAGACTGTAGGCCAACTTTACATGTTTGAATGTTGCATTCTGTGAGATTTTAAAAAAAAACAACCTCCATTGCAAGTCCTAGCACAGGTTCCTCTTCCAAGAAAGGTTGGTGCAGTGGTTGGTACAGTCAGCAAATTCACTATATGGACAGAGTGTTTTTAAATGCAGGTGATTCATTCATCATAAGCATCAATACTCTACATCAACCTTCAGCTGCTGCATGTGCAGATGAAAACTAGTAGACCAAGTTCAAAAGAAAGGGGCATGACAGCTATTTTAGTTCAGGAGGATGGCCATCTGCCAAGAAAGATCATTTCTAAGTACAGTAGAAATTTCCACTAGGTGGTATTTGCATAGTATATCACCTCTGCCGAAATTTCTCTTTTGCACAAATCCTAAAGAGATAGGGTCTTCATAGGTGGCTTCACCTGGTTGCTTTGATTTGGGTTTAGCCAATAAAGCAGGAGACTATAATGTCTTCCATGGCAGGAGAAAGGAAAATAGCAATAGCACTTAGACTTATATACCGCTTCACAGTGCTATATAGCCCTCTCTAAGCAGTTTACAGAGTCAGCATATTGTCCCCAACAATTTGGGTCCTCATTTTACCAACCTCGGAAGGATAGAAGGCTGAGTCAATCTTGAGTCGGTGAGAATCAAACTGCTGGTAGTTGGCAGAATTAGCCTGCAATATTGCATTTTAACCACTGCGC